TTTTAGGGGGGGGCGAAAGCGCACCCAGCAAAAATAATCGTATTTTGTCAATTATGCTGTTTTCATAATCGTCGCAAGCCATAATCACGATTAAAATATAATTAATTGCACAGCCCTATACTACGTCATCAAGTGGCGCCGAAGGACTGTTTCAATGCATATTAACTGCCCAGCATTCTGCGCCACACGATGACGTAGCATACTTGAAATAGTGGCTCTGCAGCAGGTGTACTCGACATTGAGGAACGGCCACGGTATGGGCTCTGGCAGGGTTTTTAGTTGATGGAAAAGAAAATGTGAACAGACTTGGACGGTTACAGAAAACCTGGATCAGTGCTGCCGTCATTTTAATTGACGTTGCTAGTAAAATTAATAGTAAAATCATTTTTGAAACAATACAATAATGTTCAAATCAATATATACTGGCAAATAACTGATTTGTTTCCTAAGAAGCTTTTTAATAGGCGGAACATTAAATTATTTATTTTGCTATAGCATCTCTCCACACATTATGCTACTGTAGCGTGCATCCTAGATGCTGGTATTTGGAGCCCATTGTTGTCAATGTGGGGAATCTGAAATCGTGCTGATTGGCTTCTTTAAGACTGTAATATACTGTACATCACAAGTCTAGTTCCACAAAATCCGCACCAACACTGGAACTGGAACCAGACCTGTGAATATAAGTCCCGCGACCCGACCCGTGATTAAACACACGGGCGACACAATAACTCACTATAATTGCTTTCTACCACCTACATAGATTGTTGCTTTGATCCATAATTAAAAATCTGCGAAAAATCCTCCCCTTTGAAAGATTGATCTCATTCTGTTTCATTGTCTTTGTGCATACAGTACATACAGCGTCAATAAAGATGGGATCTATACGTGCAGATAAATCCACATATTCATCAGCTTTGGATGAGATGATACACAGTAAAACACAGCTAGTGTCTAATCCTCCTTGTTATCTTTCCCACTGCCGCCCTATTGCCTTTTACAGCCTCGGGAAAGCACTTTCATGCATGATACATTTTACATCGTCGTGTGTGCGCTTTCGTCCAATATGCAGATGATGTGGTGAAATCAATGAGCGTATGACATCAGCTAATCCTGTGTATGTGTGTTTGTTCAAAGACGTGTATGCATGCTTCTATTTGCAGTAGCACACAAGCTACTCTACTCATGTTTGTGCTTTTCCTTTCCTACTGTTCTGTCATCGTTCTATGAATGTGTGTACGTAGTTCTCAGAGTCTTTCCAAAGAGGCTGAATGAACCCTAACTCCAAGTCCTCCGTATGAGCCACTACACATGTGTTATAGTGTTTGTGTATGATGCCATAACATCACTAGAATAGCAGTTGGAGAACCCCAAGCCCGATGCATTCACCTGCTCCTCGGATGGATCCATTTCCAAAGTTTGGAAGTCGTTCTTCTTCAGAGTATTCACAAGCTTTTAGTTCTAATGTGGAAACAAAATGGACGCTAAAAAGCAGATGTGTTGTAGTTTCTTGCTGGAGAGGACGTTAACAGGAATGTTACCTGGAACTCTTCTGATTATTCCAACAACGGATCATCTCATCCTAATCAAGTCTCGCCATTTTAGAGACATTTCATATTCGCTTCCAAATAAATGATATCTCTGCCTAGCCTACACGCTTCCAACAGGTTTAAAAACGGAGTTCGAAACATTACTTATTAGGCGAAGGTTTAAGTGGAATTATCGCCTTTGGTTTTCAGCAAGTTTTGGTTCACGTCCAAATGTCATCCTAATAGATGTATTTTGTGAAAATGTCAGTGTCTGCAATGTTGTTGGCATATGAATGATTGATTAATGGCAAACATCATACATTTGTCAAATCACAGTGACCTTGACCTTGGACCACCAAAACGTTCCTGAGCTCTTGCGTTCATATATAATAATAATAATGCGAAAAAAAATAATATATGCATGTTATGTTCCCTCCTGGACTAGGGGTACAAAGGGAAGTAACAACATATCAAATAACCGGGAGAGAGAAAAAAGGGAGGAAACTGGTTTCTGAAGCCACAAGGTGATGCTTTAATTAACCAAAAGGTAAAGAGGGCTCACCAGCCAATTTGCAAAGTAAACTAATGATAAACAAAAAACAACTTTCCTATTAAAGAAAGTGACTAAAGTACACTGGAGCACAGTCTCCTAACTTTAATAAAGTTATTAAAACACCAGTGTTAAACTAGCAGGCCTCACACAGAGACCAGAGGACACCACCATGCAGCCCAGAGGAGAAGGGGGAGAGGGAGACTGCAGCCCTTCCTCAGGTCCTTTGTGGACGCCCGGGATTGGGGAGCACCTGAGGGGGAGGCTGCACCTGGAGGGAGACAATCAAGGGGGGAGAGGACACAACAAAACAAACCACGGCACGTAACAATGGCACATTCATAATGGGTTGGGATCCAGCTAACCCTTTGGGTTTTTGCTTATGATGCTTAACTGACGTGAAACCCTTCTATAACTACTGTTACCTTTTGCTTTAATCTCACATTGCTTCTTGTCTTTTGTTCATATTTCTGCTGCTTCGTTGTTATCCTTCAAACACGGAAGATAATCTGATCATAACCTTTGAATATGCATATGAGTCACGATCAGTGGACAAGAGAGGTCAAAAGAGTGAATATAGATCAGTGCCACCAGTCTGATCTACTGATATCACAGGAATAATGTTTAGCATTCAAGAGGTGATGCCGGGTGCAACTCTAAATGGACATTTCCATATAAGAATTGCTCAAGCTTGAATAGTCAGCCGTAGTGATTTCACTGAGATGAATGTTAGGACTGTATACACATTCCCACTCAATGGAATTAGTATAACC